CTTTCCACCGTGTCACCATAATTAATTACCAAATAATAATAATAAATAATAACAAAAAGATGCCGCATCTATTATTCCAATTCCTTTCCTGCTGTCGCTTTTATTACAGCTTTTTTTTTTCTTTTTTTCTTTTTTAATTTTCAAACCTTTTTCCTCTAATTGTCCCCCCAGTTTCGGAGTGCTCTTATCAAATCCTGCTTGATCCTTCCACCTCAATTATTAATGTCATTTTATTATTTATTCATTATTGATTTATGCACGCCCTCATTCATCAATAAACGCATAAATCAATAAAAATAATTGTCATCAATTGTAACCGCCCAAATTCCCTAGATATTGTGGCCTTCCCTTTCCCTCAGAGCTTTAAAATGCTTTTGCGAGAAAAAGATTTCCACACCCTCGTAAATGGTGGTCGACATCACAATTTACTCTCCTTCGGGGCCTAGCGTCCTCGCTAGCACTCGTTTCTTTCTCCAATCGATGTGGGACCCCCTCCTCCAGCGTCCTTACTGGCACAACGCCTCATGTCTATCCCCTTTCGGATAATAGCAAGAAGGCTGACACATTGTCTAGTGTCTAGCGCCGATACCATTTGTAACGGCTCAGATCCACCACTAGCAGATATTGTCCTATTTGAGCTTTCCCTTTCAAGCTTTCCTTAAGGGCTTTAAAAATGGTCTGTTAGGAGAAGATTTCTACGCTCTTATAAATAATAATTTGTTCACATCACATTAATGTCAATTATATATATTAAAATCAATGTTCAATCGCATTAAAATTATATATATATATATATATATATATTAAAAGTCTCAACCTTTTTTTGAAAAGTGATTGGGTAATAAGAACAGTGAGGCAAGAAAAAGACAAGAGATGAGTTGTCTGTGGGCCATGTTTGATTTATTATTTGTTGTGGAGTGGACTTATAAGGCCCATGGGCTGGAGTAAGCTCAAGCCCAATGACTTCAGAAGCCCAAGGGGCTATCAATAAGAAAGCCCATAATCGGTATTATGATTAATGTGGTAATTTTTCGGGTAAGGATTGATTGTTCTGACCCGAACCGGACCGGCTCCATTAACCAAAGCGAAAGGAAACCTATTTCCCACAGCACCCACCCGCGGAAAGAGCAAACGCTGGGCTTGATCAATCCACAAAACCTTCCGATCAAGCTTCCATGGGAACGCCGGAGACTTCTCGGGAGCCTTGTCCAGATCGGATTCTCGATGACATCGGCGGCGCATTTGGTATGGGTGCCGTTGGTGGCTCTGCATTTCACTTTCTCAAAGGCGTTTATAGTTCGCCTAAAGGCGCTCGCCTTCTTGGTGGTTCTCAAGCCGTCCGTATGAATGCGCCTCGTATTGGCGGTAGCTTTGCTGTTTGGGGTGGATTGTTCTCCACCTTCGATTGTTCCATGGTTTACCTCCGCCAGAAGGAAGATCCATGGAACTCGATCATAGCCGGAGCCGCTACTGGCGGCTTCCTCCAGATGCGTCAGGGCTTCGGCGCCTCCGCCCGCTCGGCTTTGTTCGGCGGTGTTCTATTGGCTCTGATCGAGGGGGCTGGGATCATGCTGAATAAGGTGCTTAGTCAACCGCAGAACGCTCCGATTATGATCGACGACGCCGGTGCTATGGGCGGCGTCCCTGGTTACCCTATGGACCAGATTCCGGGTCTAGCAACACCGCAAACGTCGGGTGCAAGTCCGGGATCTTCAAATGCGGGTTCGGAATCGTGGTTCGGAGGATGGTTCGGTGGGGGACAGAAAAAGGATTCAGAGGCAAGTCGTGGAGAGAGCGACACGAAGATTTTGGAGAGCTTTGATTCGCCGCCGGTGCCGAATTTCGAGTACAAGTAAATATTCTTTATTCTGAGACTTGATTTATTAGGGAAAGTGTATTAGAATTGGCTGTTTACGATTCACGCTGACTTGAAATTGCAATGGCAAGTGTTCTTTCATTGTTTGTTGTTCTGAAATAGTGATCTGTAACAGTAAGATTATAGAACACCATTGATCCTTTACCAAGTTAACTGGGAAAATAACAAGGAAAGAAGCATGTTTTGAGAAGTATCAGGTTGTAATCTATTTACCTTTCCTAAGGAAACTTGGGACCTTGCTTAGAGTTGATAGCAATCCAAAATTTTGTTCTGGGTTATTGCCACACAATTCAGTCTCCAATTTCCATTTGAAATTCCAAATAGTATCTATTCTCGGGTAGTTTTGAAATGGTGTTAGAAGGTTGTGAGATCCCAATGCTAGCCCTAAACGGGGTGAACGGTGAGATCTCACATCGATTGGAGAGGGGAACGAAGCAATCTTTATAAGGGTGTAGAAACTTCTCCCAAATATATGCGCTTTACAAACCTTAAGAGGAAACCTGAAAGAGAAAGTCCAATATATGCTAGCAATGGGTAGTTATTACAAAGGTAATATATCAAACAAAGGACGAATTTCAACAGGAGACTATGAGGGAGACTATGAGGCATTGAGTTTTCCATAACAGCTGATTCAGCTTAATGAATTCAATCCATTGAAGTTTGAATGAATGAATTGATCCTGTAGTAGTAGTAGTAGTTAGAATGTGAGGGCATGGGCATGGGCTTGAATTGAATATAGGATGAGAGTGGTAGAGTGTTGGCCTTCAGTAATTCCTGCCTGTTCTAAGTTCTAGCTTCCTTGTTCTTGCTGGGTTTTCTATTCCAACTAAAAGACCAAATCTTTCACTCTCTCTCGGGAAAATACTGAAGTCAAACCAACCATGGACAGTAGTGTAGATCATCTTGGTCTTTAGAACATGAAGTTCAACTTGAACCACAGGTTTCAAAGACTGGGTTTCCTTGTCCCTATCAACTTTGCTGCCTGTCGGTTCTTTCATTGGTTTAGGGTTTAGGGTTTAGGGTTTAACGACGTCTCTTTCTTCGTCCTTTCCACCGTTCGGGTGTCTTGTTTTGGCTTGCTATCCATTGCTTGAGCTTTTGAGTCTCTCATACTTGATTGCTCTTCCAAAGTGCTTTAAACTCATGTCATATTTTTTACGTCACCATATGTTTATTTTCGTATATAATTTCCCTTTTATTTTTATTTCAATCAAGCATGTATGGTTATGAAATTACATATTTTTATTTTTAGAACTTTTTTTCCTACACTTTTCTTTTTTTATAGTATACATTAGTCAAGAAAAACCAATGATACTAAATTTTAAAAAATTAGAGTAATCTTGCTCATTATGCCCCTGTGACACCAAGACAAATTGAAAAATGATCCAAATTATCCCACGCATGACATTAAAATATATATTTAGTTGAATTAAATGGTACCATTAAAATTTATAAAAAGAAAATAATAATAACTAAAATAAAGTGAAGATGGAAATTGTTGGTTGATGATAATGGAGTAAAAAGTAGAAAATATTATATTGAAAGTGTGAAAAAAGAATTCCAAAAAGATTATTAATAAAAACAATTGGGAAAGAAGCGATGGAAGGGCAGCCGGTCAACTACCATGTGCTACCCGCTTGCCCCTCTTTCCCACCAACTTTCTCCCTTTTTCCTTAATTTCTTTTTGACTACTTTCGTCTTTTGTTCCAAGCAAAATTCATCTTTTTCTCTCTCTTTTTTTTTTTTTTAATTTAAAACTATGAGACAACCAAAACACACCTAATTAATTAACGCATTATATTATAGTCTAAACTATTAAATGCTCGAGTCTAAACTATTATATTATAGTTATCTTGATTTGATCGATAAATATTAAGATTTTTCATATCATAGTCTCTAAACTTTCAAATATTTATTTTAGCCGTAGAAACAAGTGCTAAGTAAGCAAAGAAATATGTAGTAAAATAACATATTGAATAGTTTTCTCGTGTGTACAAATTTTGATTTTGTGCAACTTTGTGTACACTCAATGTACGGTTCTACCTTATCTTCCACACTTTACACATTTTAATGTAATCTTGAAATACTCCATTAATAATACTATTGATTTCAAAATATGTATATCTAATTGAAGAAGATGAATATTAATACCAAAATTCATTTGAGGAACTATAAATTTTTTATTTCATCGATCATCGGAAAAATATTATCGTATGAATCCAAGTTGATATATCGAAAAATGATTTTTTTTATTTTTTATTATTATTAGGTTAGTGGAAGCAAAAGTAAGTATAAAGAAAGAGCAAATTGTAAATAGGAATTATAAAATTAGATATTGGAATGTGAAAGGACTTTTATTACCAAAAAAATAAATAAAATAAAATTAGGAATAGTGAAGTGAAAGGGAAGGGAGAAAGAAAGGGAACTTTCTAACCCTTTTCTATCTCTTATTTAATTTTCTTGGTTTTTTAGCTTTGAATAATAAACATGTTGGGTTGACTCATTCTCTAAGTTTGACTCTTCAAACTTTTCAACAGCCTTTAATTAAAAGTTTTTTTTTAATGCTTATTTAAGTATAAAAATTCTGAAAATAAGTTGCTTGAAAATCATATAATTTAGTGTTGCAGAAAATTCTATATGAATTTTATATAAATAAATAAAATTTTGTTTGGTTTTTTACTTCTAACAATTCCAATCAATTAAAATTTAATTTAATTTTTTATTTTTTAGACAATTTTAATAAAATTATACCATTTTTTTATGGAAAAAAAAAACTTGAAAAAGAAAGGGTTTTGAAAACCCACCAAAAATATTTACAGGCATTTAAAGAATATTTTTAAAAAATGAATAACCAATAATTTCCATTCAAAATTAAGGTATATATATATATTATATTATATAAACTATTTTGTAGATGAAGAACAAAATGTTCGTCAAAATTTAACAGAGCGTAGGATCGCAGCAACACACTGGAGTTCACATTGGGAGCACATGAAAATTATGAGCATTTCCGCCATAGCCAAAGACCTTCCAAAGACCTTTCATCATCTTCTCCACATGACAACATCTTTTTCTTCTCTGGAAACCATTTCCTTCTTCCTCCTCCTCCTCCTCTGTTCCCACCATGTCAATTCCCACCTCTACGAACAAGAACACTCTGTTCTTCTCCGACTCAACCACTTCTGGCAGAACCAACCGCCGCTTCACCATTGGCCGTCCTCCAATGCTTCTCATTGTACATGGCCGGAGGTTCAGTGTACTGACAATTCCGTCACTGCCCTTCTTTTCCATTCCTATAATTTGAACGGAACTTTCCCCCCTTTCATTTGCGACCTCAAAAATCTCACCTTTATTGATCTTCAGTACAATTTCATCACCGGCGGCTTTCCGACCACGCTTTACAATTGCTCGAACCTTAATTACCTCGACCTCTCGCAGAATTACTTTGTCGGCTCGATACCCAATGACGTCGATCGCTTGTCTCGTCTCCAGTTTCTTAATCTCGGTGCAAACAACTTCTCCGGTGACATTCCGACAGCCATTTCTCGGCTGTCGGAACTCCGGTACCTTCATCTTTTTATGAATCAATTCAATGGGACTTACCCATCTGAAATCGGCAACTTATCGAATCTGGAAGAGTTGCTGTTGGCTTATAATTCAAATTTGCTACCGGCTGAATTGCCTTCCAGTTTCGCCCAATTGAAGAAATTGACGTTTTTGTGGATGGCAGAATCAAACGTGAACGGTGAAATTCCAGAATGGATCGGAAACTTGACCGCCCTCGAGCGATTGGATTTGTCGAAGAATCATTTGATTGGGGAAATTCCTAGCAGTTTGTTTAGATTGAAGAATCTCAGCATCGTTTATCTCTACAAGAACAATCTATCAGGTGAAATTCCTCAGCGGATTGATTCTAAGAAAATCATCGAATACGACCTATCGGAAAATAATCTGACCGGAAGAATTCCGGCGGCCATCGGTGATCTTCAAGAACTGACGGCTCTGCTTCTGTGTTCAAATCAGTTAAGTGGAGAAATCCCAGAAAGCATCGGTCGTCTTCCATTATTAACAGATGTCAGATTATTCAGCAACAATTTAAACGGTACATTACCGCCAGATTTCGGGCGAAATTTGATCCTCGAAAGTTTTCAGGTGAGTTCAAATAAGCTCACCGGAAGCTTGCCGGAACACCTCTGCTCCGGCGGTAAGCTCAAAGGAGTGATTGCTTACGACAATAATCTTAGTGGGGAATTACCAGAATCTCTTGGGAGTTGCGATAGCTTGTTCATTATTGATGTTCATAAGAACAACTTCTCCGGGAAAATTCCGGTCGGTTTATGGACGTCTCTGAATTTAACATTTGTAATGATGAACGACAATTCTTTCATGGATGAACTCCCTCGGAGAATCTCCAAGAATCTCGCGAGATTAGAAATCAGTAACAACAAATTTTCAGGGAAAATCCCATCGGAGTTATCTTCATTTTGGAATTTGACTGAGATTGAAGCAAGCAATAATCGATTGTCAGGACGAATTCCTGAAGAACTCACTGCCCTTTCAAAGATGAACAAGCTTTCGCTCGATGGAAATCAACTCACAGGGGAGCTTCCACGGAACATCATTTCATGGAGATCATTGCACAGCCTTAAACTCAGTCGAAATCGACTCTCTGGTAAAATTCCAGACGAATTTTGCAATTTACCAAGCCTTAATGATCTTGATCTCTCAGAGAATCGACTTTCCGGAACAATTCCGATCGAACTGGGAAATTTGAACTTGAATTTCCTCAACCTCTCTTCAAATTTTCTGTCTGGGAAAATCCCGCCTGCATTTGGAAATGAAATCTATGCAAGAAGCTTTTTGAACAATCCGGGTCTTTGTTTAAATCTGGACGGCTGCAGTTTAAGAACTCAGAATTTGCGAAAGATTTCATCGCAGCATCTTGCTCTGATCGTATGTTTGGGCGTAATAATATCCATATTCTTTGTAGTTTCTGCTCTGTACATAATCAAAATCTATACAAAAACTGGAATCAAAGCAGATGTTGAATGGAAATTGACATCATTTCAGAGGCTGAATTTCTCGGAGGGTAATCTTTTATCTGGGCTGTCGGAGAACAACGTGATCGGCAGCGGTGGATCCGGGAAAGTTTACCGGATTCCAGTGAATAATCTGGGTGATATGGTGGCCGTGAAGAGAATATGGAACAGCAGAAAGTCAGACCACAAGCTTGAGAAAGAATTCATGGCGGAAGTTGAGATTCTCAGTTCGATTCGACATAACAATATAATCAAACTCCTCTGCTGCGTTTCCTGTGAAAGTTCACGACTGCTCGTTTACGAGTACATGGAGAAGCAAAGCCTGGACAAATGGCTACACAATAAGAACTCACTGCCAAGAATTGCAGGGTCGGGCGCTGTTCGCGGTGTCGCCCTCAATTGGCCGATGAGATTTCAAATTGCAGTGGGGGTAGCACAGGGCCTCTGTTATATGCACCATGAATGCTCCCCGTCGGTAATTCACAGAGACTTGAAGTCCAGCAATATCTTACTAGATTCAGAATTCAATGCCAAAATAGCAGACTTTGGCTTAGCCAAGTTGCTGGTGAAGCAAGGGGAACCAGCTTCAATCTCCGCTGTCGCGGGCTCCTTCGGATACATGGCTCCAGGTAAGAGACTTCCCTGTTCCAATCTACAAGAGAATTTGATATGAGACATTGATAGGAAAAACTAAAAGCTTGTTCTATTATGTCTGCAGAGTATGCCCAGATACCGAGAATTAACGAGAAGATCGATGTGTTTAGCTTTGGAGTTATACTTCTAGAGTTGGTGACCGGAAAGGAAGCTCTTACCGGCGTTGAAGACTCGTCTCTGGCTATGTGGGCTTGGGAGTTCATTAAACAAGGCAAGGCAATAGTCGAAGCATTGGATGAGGATGTGAAGGAGACACGTTATCTTGATGAAATGTGCAGTGTGTTCAAACTAGGACTGATCTGCACTTCCAGTGCGCCAACCAGCCGGCCGAGCATGAACCAGGCTCTGCAAATCTTGGTCCGCAGCCGGACCATGGCACCTCAAAACCATGCAGATCAAAAAGTACAGACTCGCTGAGAGATATGACGATTACTTGAAAGATGTAACCGTCAAGGTTCTCTTCAGTGGTGGAGACTGGAGAGGACCCGGCACTCGAGCCACTGCTCCGAGCACAAATGGCAATGGAGTTGACGGGTCGACACGGTTTGTTTGTAAACTTCGAATAACGATCCCTGTCGTGTATATTTTAGCTGAACCACAATGATGATAAAAGAGAAGTCGTTCAGCTAAAGCAGGGCCAAACGGTTTCGGCTTTCAGCGCAAAAGAACCGTTCTTCCAAGTAAATGAGTATTGAACACTGATGATGAGATAAAATGGAAACCAGAAAGAACAATGAAAAAGGAACTATTTTATTTGTATGCTTGATGACAATTCTAGTTATCATCCATTGATGGATTAATCTAATTCAAAAGGAGGATTTCAACAGCCTGCAGATGAACCATATGGTTCTAATTTATTGGCAAAGGAACTCGGGGAAGGATGATTTCATCGGAGACGATGGCGAGGAGGGAAACCCCTCGTCCCCATTTATTAACCATATCAAAGCCAAAGGTAACTTGTGCACCAATGCCGTTGACATCCGCTCCAACATCATGAGGATGGAGGGAGCCATTTCAAAATGTTGGGAGTGTTAGCAGGCAAATTTACCGCATAATTTACCCATTGCTGGAGATGATATGCTCTAAACCATAAAATTAACGACTTAAGTGTCATTGAAACGAGGAGCCTAAATAACCTCAAGTCTGTAAAGACAAAGAATACAAGTTCTTTTACAACAAATGATTGGAACTATTTCATTATTCTGAGCTACCTTAGCTGGATTTGGACTCCTGTTTTCAGGACTCCTCTACCCCAAGATACTGCGAGTGAGATGCTGCGAGAAGTGCTGCTCCAATGCCAGAGCCATCGTTCGAGTGCTCGATCACAAAGTTATCTGCAACTTCGTCTCCCAGTAATTCCTTGAGTGAACTCTCCATTGAGTTTCTAAATTTAGTGTAGTGCTCAAATAACCCACCATCAACAGCTATGACAGATTTCTGCTTATCCCCATCTTTTGGGATATCCCTTCCCAATTTCTTGATGATCCCATAAATCCCAGCAGCCGATAGGCGTGCACCACGAGTGGCAACAATGTCACATAGCTCAAAGATGATTTTTCTCATAGGGAGAGGGCTGTTAGATACCTGACACAAAATAACAAATTTACATGAGTTTTGGTGATCGTTCCGTAATGAAACGACTAAGAGAAAATTGTTTTTCTTTCACATCATGAATCGAAAAAAACTCAAATGACCAAGAGTAGCGATCAATTGGCTCCAGGAAGGGAATTTAATGCGAACCTCCAAAATGTCATTCAGCTTGCTTCCAATAACTCTCAGATCTGGAGATGTATCATGATGCATGGCGGACATGTCTGGAGTCCTGCATAAATATCAACAATAATTTAACACAACAATCAAGGGTTCTTTAGATCTGTTTCAAAAGACCAACATGCATCCATTTTGCAAATGAAGTAATGAAAAAAGCAACAAACTAGATGGCGTAGATTTATATAGCAAGTTAACTGATTCTGAAATTTGTTTTTCTTTTTCCTGTTCATTTGTTTTTCATTTAAGACAAGAGAACAAGGTCGGTCAAATAGCACGACCACTACAAGTGAGTAAAAGAGCAATACCTAAGAATGAAAGGCCTTTTGAGTTTAGGCGGAACAACATCGCCAAAAAAGGCAGCTTCTTCAGCCATCCTACACAGAACTCTGCGAACTATTTCTCCTAGATACATGCCAGATATCATCTTCTCGAAAATCTGCATGTCACAAGATAGGATAGCCAATTTGGCAAGTTGCAATGATGAAGACTACGAGAAGAATAGCTTAAAGAAAAAGAGGAGCTTTACCTGTTCTCCCGGGTTTAAACTTTCCAAATCTAGAGCTTGATCATATTCGGTGATCGGAAGGTGAGAAGACCGGAAGTTACCCCATTCCATGTTAATAACCTGTCGGTTTGAAAGAACGTTAAATATGGAACACACGTAAAATATAATGAATAGAACCACAGGTCAAAAGCTACTACTCTTACTAACCATCTCTCCTGATTGAGGTAGAAGGCCTTGCCATTTAGGAATTGCATGCGCCCGCTCCACATATGCTGCATTTGTTCCAGTTCCCAGAATCACGGCAGCAATAACATTATCATTGTAGTAACTGCCTCCAGCTAATGTGCCTATTGTATCATTCACCTGAACCAGATACACTAGTTAGAATGTCCAACATAATGAGGGGAAAAAATCATGGGGAAAATTCACATCACAGAATTGTAACAAATGCGTCTTAAAGATCTTGGAGATATACATACCAAAGCCGCCACACGCATATCCAATCCAATCTTTTCCATGGCCTTTGTTATTTCTCCTACCACATCTTGCCCAACCTACATCAATATCATCCAGAAAAGATGCCACGGATGAGAAATGTACCATACTTGAAGTCATAAACTAGATAGATTGTACAGTGATAACATTTACAGACAACCATGCGTTCTTGAAAATTTATAGTACATTACATTAGCAAAGGAAAGCATTATTCATAGATTACGAACAAGGAATAGTACTTCAACAGGACCGTCTCAAGCAATTTATCCTTCCACCCAAATTGCAAATCAGATATCGATTAAAACCTTCTCAGTTTCATTTCAACTTTCCATAAAGAAATCTTAAAGTTAACGAAGCTTGCAAAGAATTTCAGTTCTACCACAGATCAGGTAATTTGTTTCTGTTTTTTTCTTTTCAATCAATCCAACGACAGTTCGATTGGATAGGATTCTTTTAGGCAGTTAAAATTCCTAATGGTAAGAACAAAACACAGTCATCCACCTTATTAGTTAATTTCCTGTACAATTACGCCAAAGCTTAGATGTCTTTCCACAACATAAAGAGAAAGATGCACGAAGAGAACACAAGTTCCCTAAATGTTATAAACAATAGCTTTCAGGTCTAATAATGTTCTTCACATATAATTTGATTCCATTTTTAGGGGTAAATATATATAGTGAAACGTTTTTCAAAACAAATAGAAAGACATGGTTGTACTAAACAACACAATGATGATAGATATCAAGGTAACAAGTACTAACCGTGTCCTCGATGTTGAATCCCTTTGTCCACTTGATAAGTGTCCCCGAGGCAATAGATGTTTGCCTAACTGGGAAAGAAAATGTAAAACCCAGCTCTCTTTGCCTACCAGATACTGGGTGGTAGCCATCACCTTCTTCTTCAACAAATTTTGCAAGTGCTTCAGCTATAAAACCAAATAAGGCCTGAAAAACATTCTTCATTCAGTTCTGAGAATTTAAATCTGGAGTCTTAGCGTATGAAACTTGCTAATGAAAATACTAACCTCTGAAGATCCGGTCATTAAATGTGGAGGAATCGCAACTTCGACAAATTCTTGCCTAACAACACGTTCATCCTTTCCTCCCAATTGTACACGCAACACACGGAAGTTTGTCCCTCCAAGGTCTAATGCATAGAACAACCCTTTCTCGTCCCTAATAGGATTGACAAGAAAAATGAGAGATTATATTCTCTTCAGTTTTTGCAGCAGGGAAAGATGGTTATTACATCAAACAACAGCAAGTAATGAGATAAAATTAGTGTGTTTAAGTATAGCTGAAATGCTCATTCCCACACAATAATGGGAAACTTTCACTGTTGTACTCCGAATGAGTGAAATTTCTCCCTCAACTAGTTGAACTGCTAGTTTTCTTGGACGAATTCTTGTAAAGTTCACCATTCAATTTCATGAAATCAAGTACAGATAAGAACAAAGCCTCCTCCACATTAAAGTTCACTAAAAAAAACACAGCCGCTTCATTAAAGTTCTACCAATTTAAACAGGATGAGACAAAGTAGAAAAAATTACCCAGTGGGAAGATTATCAACATAGCTAATAAGCATCTTGAGCTTACTTCCGCCTTCAGATGCGAGTCCAGCATGCATCTCCACAGTCATAGCATCTGCTACTTGCTTCAGCTTTTCCACTGAAGTTTTACACTTCTCTTCAAACTCCTTCAATATGTTCATTGCTCTAGTCCACTTCCCACAGTTCTTCATCCGGTGACGCACCACCAACGCCGCCGCCGTGCAAACAGCTGCGGCGCAGACCACAACCGTTCCCACAATTACCTTCTTCATCTCGAAACAGACAAGAGTAGATTAGATAGATTGACTGTCAAAATCGCAAGAAATAGCCGGACGATTTAGAAAAACTGAGATCTCCGATCGGAAAGAAATTCTCCAGTGATCAGAGATTCATTCTGGTTTGGAGAAAGCGTGAAAATGAAGCGATGGAGAATGAAAAGAAAAACAAAAAGGGAAACGGAATCAAAGAGAGGGAAAAGGAAGCTCCCAGATCGAATGGAATTGGAAATTGGAAACTAGAAATGGATTGATGTGTTTACCTAATGGAAATTTATCGCGCACATTGCTGTGGAATCCATGAAGCGGAGAAAATTGAAATTGATTTTTCAATTTGAATTTGTAGAATCACGTCCTTGTGGTTGGGCTTCAGAATTTGGACAACCTTTGACTCACAATTACGCTTCTGACCTGTCCTCCACCGATACCTTTTTATATGCTTTTGGGAACGCATTTCAGCTTCGCAATCCCACGTGTACCACTTTTCTTCCTTGCCGCCTGTTAACTTCGTCCTTATCAGTTTCCTCCCTCCAAAATTATTACTAAAATTAATTCAATTAAATATATTATTTTATTATTATAAAACATATATTATTACCTTTTTTTTTTTTAATTAAAATTTTATAAACCATGGGTTTTGTGTTTTAAAATTAAATAAAAATTTTAAAAAAATTAAGAGAAAACCAGTATACGTTTTAAAAAAAACCAGATAAAAAAATAAAACCGTCGTCAAATATGATTTTAATATACTCCATTCTTACTTATCCATTTCCTTAATATACTCGATTCTTTCTTATCCATTTCCGTGGGTAGACATTCCAAACTAATTTTCAGATATTAAACCGGTTTTTTTTTTATAGAAATTTTCAATGGTTCGATTTTCTTACTTCTGCGATCAATGGTATGATATTGTCTAAATTAGCCGACGTGAGATTTTCATCGTCCAACAACTCCCCTTGAACAAAGTACGCCTCCTCTTAATCGAAGCTTGACTTCTTTTTCTTTTGAGTCTTAGTCATTTTTTACTGTGCCTTCGAGGACGCTCCATTCCAGTCATTTGTTTGACATTTGAGGATTTACCAATCTATTAGCATGACTAAGTTTAGGGCATGCTCTAATACCATGTTAGACAAACACGACTCTTCACAATGGTATGATATTGTCAACTTTGAGCATAAGCTCGCATAGCTTTGCTTTGACCTTCCCCAAAAAGACCTCATACCAAATGAGATAGTACTCTTTGATTATATAAATCCACGATCATTCCTTAAATTAGCTGACGTGGGACTTTCATCATCCAACACTCCCTTCTTATCCTGATTTACATGTTAACATGTTCATGCTTAACACATGTCCATTGAAGTACATTATCTTTTTTAACCAATCAAAACTCCTCATATGGTACAAACATCTACATTCAATAATAACCTATAAATTTAGTTGATAAAAAAGAGGAAGGCAGACATTTCAAAAAATATATATATATATATTTTAATTTCTCTATTTTTAATATCGATACAAAAAAGTAAACATTTTAAAAATTGTGGGACTGAAAACTATGTATTACGGATTATCATAGACAAAATCTATCGGTTATAAATCCATGAGAAAAGTTATAAACAATTGCTGTCACCAAAATCCAACGGTCATAAATTTCTGTGGAGTTGCCAACTTTTTGTTTTATTATTATTTTCTTTTTGGTATTTTGTTTAAATAGATAAACTAACGGCCATATATTACGAGTTTATCCTGTCAGGTGGGATTAATTGCAGATAAATACCCACAGATTTAAATCAGAGCCCATAATATTTGACTAATAAATAAAATATAGAAACTAATAATTTTTTCAAGTCCAATATGTTTTAATTATTGATTAATGGATATTAAAATATAGTAAATTAATATTTACATGCATTTTGTATCTACTTATTTGAAATTAAAAATAATCCCATTTCTATTTAATGAATTAATACAATTAAGGAGCAAATAAATAAATAAATAAATTGTGAGATAAAATAGATGGGAGTGGCATGTTGTCGTTTTTTGGAATAGTTATAGTTGTGGGCAGTGCTTTCGCTTTCAGTTTCATTTAATGTATATATACGGCAAGAACCACATATTTTTCCCTTTTATTTCGCCTAATTGTCTAAAAAGTATATATATATATATTTTTTTTAATTTTAAAATATTCGATGGTTTTTTGGAACTTATCTCAATTAGAATACATGATTTGGTTGGTTTAATACGGTTCATCGGCTTCTAGCCATCCAAAACATATTGTTGATCGTAATCTACAGAAAGGGATGAATAAGGTAATCTTGGTCGTTTTACTCAAATTCACTTTCCTAATATAAATATTTAAATTTTATGTTATAACTGTGTATAAGTAAAAAAAAAAAAACTTAAAAAAATTCAAAAACATTAAATTATAAATTTATTATTTAAACATTGAAATTAATTTGTTCTCTAAATTAAAAAAAAAATATATATATATATATATATATGTTATTGAACTAGTTTTATAAATTGATTGATCTATATTTTTTTTCGTATTTTTAAAATATTAGTTATTTTTAAGTAATAGATAATAGGTGGAATATGAGAAATCCACCCAGGCCCAAAGGGTCACTGAAGGCCCAGTTATATGAACCCAAGCCTTAGGCCCATTACAGTTAACCGTGGCTGAGTCTACCACAGTCCGGTCTGTGGTGGACTCCTAATGGCCCCGCTTAAAAGGGAGAAAGTCTCATCCTTTAAACTCGGCTCGAGCCATTAAGTTCATAATCTAACCCAACCCAACTTAATCTTCTAATTTTCCAATTAAATTGAGTGTCGAATTCTTTTTTATTAATTTGAAAAATCATACTTAATGCATTACACGTTGCAACGTCAAATCTTCTTAATTTTCGTAATAATCTTAAAAGTAGGTGATGGATTGTAACCTATTTTTTGGTTAGATTTTTATGACAAAAAAGAAAAAAAAAATGTCAACCCACAAACTAACCTAAATTTTTTTAGTTTTTTAAAAGTTCAACTCAATAGAACCCAAGCCAGAAAAAAAACAAATTAACCCAATTAATATTTATAACTTATTTGAGTCGATTAAGATCTGAAGTCATTTGAACACGCTAGCGGATAAATAAAGTAATCATGGTAGAGCTGAAATTGAAATGATTTATCGTACTTGGTTGCCCATCCATTCCTCTCCATCTTCTTCTTCTTGGCTGCAAACTTCATCATCACTTTCCTTGTCTATATGAGTAACCTTAAGAACAAACAACAAGAAATTGATGATTGAATTGAATTGAAATTGTTGGGATTTGAACCCATAAGAAGTGTGCAAGAAGGAAGAGGCGTAAGGGCATTCGTATGGGGAAACCCTACTCATTACTTCATATGTGCCTTTGCCTTTCTCTTCACTCCATGCCAACTATCTCATCTTGCCTCTAAACCCTTTTTGGACATCAAATGACACCTTCTTCTTGTTCTTGATTGCAATAAGAGATGCACAAATTAATGGTTCCAAAAGGACTTTTTCGGACTAAAATATTCGAGGGTGATCACGTTACCTATTTGTACATATTTTTTAGCATGTTTTTTTCTCACCCGCTTGACTTTTATGGAAACTAGGAGCCACTGCTAGCAAATATTGTCCGCTTTGACCTGTTACGTATTGCTCTCAGTCTCATGGTCTTAAAAAGCATCTATTATGGAAACACCTCCGCATTAGTCCTTTACATGTAATTTTTCAATTATTGATCCTAAAAAAAATAACGTTTAAAATTAGGTCAGTAAAGTAGCATTCGAGCCACCCATTCTTACCTTAAACTATTGTCCTTGAATTACAAAGTTGGTGACCAAACAAAATTTGACAATATTGTTATAAAAATAAAATAAAGTTTAATATTATAAATTTAGTCACATTTTTTAATATTTAATAGATTTAGTTGTAAAAATTAATTGATCTACATTTAAATTTTAATTAGTTTTATAATTTATACATATGTAAGGAAAATGTCACATTTTTTAAATACGAATTTGAAAATTCGAGTAAGCTATTTAAAATAAAATTTAGGTCGTTAATAACATAAAATCCGACTAACCCAAATAATAAAGATTGGATTAGATTGAACTTTTGAAAAATAAAAAATTATGTTCTGCTCGAAAGTTGACATAGTTTTGGTCGGATCAACTCAAGCAACCCAAAAAATAGAATTACAACCAACTCAACTCTATATTAAAAATTATTACCAAGATTAAAAATATTTAACGTTTGTAATCGATGTTAACTACTATGAGTAATAATAAATATGAAAGTGAAGCCAGAAAGAACAGAAAAAGAAGGGAATTATGAAGCAACATGGTGGTGTGTGAAAACATTGACCAATAGTATGGGTACGGTAAAAGAGGAAGAAAATTGTGTCATAAAAAATAAAAAATAATAACAATAATTATATTTTTTAAAATTAATGATGTTCCCGAACATCATAGTTTCCCGTGAAACATACCAATGAGAACACGAAGCATTTCCGACATTTATCCATTATAAAAATAACCTTAAAAAATAATTATGTATTTTATTAATATTTCCTTTTTTATTTTTTTTTAACTAAAAACAAGTTGACAACAATTATCTTAAAAATAAAACTAAACACATGTAATGTTTTTTTTTTTTTTAATCTTAAAAAAAGGAAAAATTGTAATATTTAAAAAAGGAAAAAAATGGAGGTAATTCAGAAGACGACAATTCTCTCAGGCGTTGCCTTTGTATTTTTCCTTTACCACCGGCACGTCGCTCCATAAAGTACACACACATTTTCCCTCATACAATCTTTTCTTCTTTTGCTTTTAAACCAAGTAATAATAATTATTATTATTATAAACAAATCAAATAATTTTAAATTTATTTTCCATCTCTCGGTGGGTTCCTGACTAATTCGAATCACTCAACCCAAATCATAAAAATTAAATTAGGTTTGAATTTTTTTTTTTCAATTTGGGAGAAGTTTAATGCTTTGAAAATTAAAAAAATGTGGTTGGTCGAGTTAACCCGATCAACTCAAAAATAGGTTATAACCTTATCCTAAATTTAAAAATATTTAAAGTTTATGGCTAATTCCCAATACTTTATATTTAAATTTTATGAGATTTAATTATTAATTTATGAAATTCTAAAATTGCTAGAGTCACCTATCGATGATGAAAGTCCTGTCGCTAATTTAGGGAATGATCATGGGTTTATAATTAAAGAATACTCTCTCTCTATTGGTATGACAACTTCTGGAGAATCACAAAGCAAAGTCATGAGAGCAAAGTGGACAATATCATACCATTGATGAGAGTCGTATTCATCTAACATCATCGACTCAACTAACTCAAAATTTAAAATAAATTTTCTACTTATAGAAAATACAAAAATAATTATTAAAAAAAAAAAAAAAAACCCAAAACCCTGATTTCAAATCAGATCATATTTTGGATTTTTCTACATCATTATATTATTTCTATTGAAACACATGAAATTTAAAATCCCTTTTGGTTACCAAATTTCAATGATTATCACATACAATTATTCCCGAGATGTAAGAAAATAATATAAACTATATTTAATTTTTTTGAAAAAGAACAAAAGAAAAAAAAAGCTTTTTTCCCAGAAACGTTACCCCCGTCCCCTTCGAATCTGGCATCGATAAGGATATCTATCTTATAACGTTCAAACAATCTCATCCCTCACACAACTCCAGTTTCCTCTGTTCTGCACTTCATCTTCTTCATCTTATCTTTTCCTTTCCCCCCTTTCTTCTCTCTTTCTCTGTTCCAGAGGGAAATGGGGAGGGCGACAAGATGGTTCAAGAACTTCTTTGGGATTAAGAGAGACAAAGAAAATTCCAACCAAACAAAACCCACTTCCAATTCCGCCGCCGACAACGATCTCTGCAATAATCCCGCCACAGTACCGCCGTATTTATCAGCGGCAGAGGCGGCGTGGTTGAAATCCTTCTACTCTGAAACAGATAAGGAACAGAGTAAGCATGCAATAGCAGTGGCTGCAGCCACTGCCGCAGCAGCCGACGCGGCGGTTGCTGCAGCACAAGCTGCGGTGGCTGTAGTCCGCTTGACTAGCCATGGTAGAGGTACTATGTTTGGCGGCGGCCGGGAAAGATGGGCCTCTGTAAAGATTCAAACTTGCTTCAGAGGGTATCTGGTGAGTGACTCTGTTTCCTCTGTTTTTTTAATGGTTTTAAGAACAGAGGATTTGTTTTAACAATTGGGTGAAATTAGGCGAGGAAAGCACTGAGAGCACTGAAAGGTCTGGTGAAATTACAGGCGGTTGTTAGGGGATATTTTGTTCGTAAACAAGCAACAGCTACTCTTCTCAGTATGCAAGCTTTAATTAGAGCTCAAGCCACCGTTCGGTCTCAGAGAACTCGCAGACTTGAAACCCGAGCCCGCAAGAACACGGTGAACACCCAAAACCTTATTTAAAATTTGTCATTTGGTTTATGAGTGCTGAAATTGAATGGGTTTTTCAGGAGAGATTTGACGATACGAAGAGCGAACACACTGCTTCAGTTCATAGCCGACGGCTCTCTGCTTCATTAGACAACATGATATTTACAGCGCTGGAAGAAAGCCCCAAAATCGTGGAAATGGACACTAGCCGACCCAAATCCATGTCTCGTCGGACGAACACGTCGTTGTCGGAATTGGGTGACGACCCATTTAACCAACCATTGTCGTCTCCACTTCCTTGTCGGACTCCGTCACGTTTGCAGATCCCAGATGGTCGGAATTTGCACGATTCCGACTGGGGTTTTGTGGCTGAGGAATGCCGTTTAATCTCGACGGCGCAGAGTACTCCACGATTTGTCAGCTGTGGTGGTTCCAATGGTGGTCCTCCGACGCCGGCGAAGAGTATGTGCGGCGATAATTTCTTCAGAGGGTACTTGAATTTCCCAAATTACATGGCGAATACTCAATCGTTTAAAGCGAAATTGAGGTCTCAAAGTGCTCCAAAACAGAGGCCAGAGCCGGGATCGAAGAAAAGAGTCTCGTTGAACGACTTAATGGAATCAAGAAGCAGCCTTAGTGGGGTTCGAATGCAGAGATCATGCTCCCAAGTTCAAGACGCCATTAATTTCAAGAACGCAGTGATGAGCAAACTCGACCGGCCATCGGAATTCAACAACTTGCAGAGAAAAACATGAACAATCATTCCAAATTATTCCCAGTACCTTAGAATTGTAATCTACATCATCAAATCAACTGCTTGGCAACTGGTTTAGATTAGATTCTTCCTGTTCTTCAGATTCCTCCAACGCCGGTCTTGTTTATATTTAGCTTAAATTATATAAATTAACATTTTAATCAGTGGGTTCTGCAAAACAGAGGAATATGGCAAAAGTGGGGAGTCAAATCAGATCAGAGATTCAAAAACTTGGGGGTAGGTTTAACAATGATTAGGGTTTAGATTGAGACTAAACCAAACAAACCCCAAGAAAAAAAAAAAAAAACATATTTTTGAAAGAAAAAAGGTATTTGGTACAGGACAGGCACAGGACAAGACAAGACAAGCCACACGGTTCGAGTTATAGGTTTGAATATTTCGTAAGGCGTGAAGTAAGGGTAGATTTCAAATTCCTGGTTTTTCTTGAATTTGATTTAATATTAGCTTAGGGTGAATTTAAGATAGGTTCGAGATAAGTTTAAGAAGGGTGAACAAAAGGGTGTACATTATTCGAGTGGTTCAGAAAAAGTAGTCGAGTCTCGATTAAAAAGGGAAGTTGTTTGAGAGCTTCCTAAGCCGCCGTAAAAATTTACAGTGTACTTTGTTCAAAGAGTGTCCATTTAGAAAGTGAGTCAAAAAAGGTAAAAAAAAAATTAGTAAAATTTGGATGTGTTCCAAGAGGGAGGGAAAATGAGAAGATTAAAAGTGGACTGATAAAAGAGAACAAATCAGAATTGGCAGTGTCAAATAAAACAATTTTGTGTAGGAAGTAGAGCTGTAATTGGCTTCTATATTGACAGTTAGCCCCACTTTTTTTTTTTTTTTCAATTTAAAATATACAATTATTTTCATTATCTAGCTGTTAAAAAATTATTTACCTCCCATTGTCAAATTAATTCAAATTCATGTTTGTAAATTTCTTGATTTGGATTCTTCTCGATTTGATTTGATAACATATTTCTATATTTTGTTGGATGATGAAAGTCTCACGTCGACTAATTTAGGGAATAATCATGAGTTTATAAACAAATAATACTTTCTCAATTGGTACGAGGCTTTTTGGGGGAAGAGGGGCGTACTTTGTTCGAGCGGAGGTGTTGGATGACGAAAATCCCACATCAACTAATTTAAGGAATGATTATGGATTTATAATCAAAGAATACTCTCTTCCTAAAACAGCGTTTATGCTCAAAGTGGACCCTTCTTATTATAATATCCAAAATCTTATTACTAAACCAAAGCTGGCAACTTTCATGAAAAAACATTAAAACGGTCATATTTTAATAATATTATCAGACGAAGAGTTGTTTGAAATTTATGGAATATCTGAGTGCCTCAAATTTCCCTTTTTGCCCTTCTACAATCACATGCTCTCACCAACAAAGTCAGACCCGACCCATTTCTTTATGTTTTATTTCAATAATTTATTTTTCTCGTAGAGGGAATGGCAATGATTGTAATTTTCAACTAATTTTATGGTTAAAAGAGAACAAAAAAAATGATATTATTATTGATTAAATACAAGAGATTAGAGGCTAAACCTGTATTATATTTGAATTATGGTTTAATGAGTAATAATTAAAATGTGTATAATAATAATAATAATAATAAATTAGATTTTGATCCATTCAGAGCCATCAATGAAGGTAAGGGAAATGAAGGGCTTGGCTTCTTCATCAGTGAGCTCTCTCGACCATGAAACTCTGCCGGCAAAGCTAGCTCCTTCGCCTGTACATTTGTATTGCCCATAAAACACCGTCCTACAACAACATTAAACAAACTCATTACTAAATTACCAAAATCTCCTTGCATGCGCATGCTCTGTCACAGATCATGGACGGTTAAATGGGGAAATGCCACCGCCCAAACCCTCCACTCTCAGAGGGTGGCGGCGGCGGCGATGCGGGTGGGGCGGTGGTCTCTCAGCTACTATAAATATTAAAAAGTTTGGTCTTTTAGTGCATTCCACGTTGGAGGAAAACGACAGCCTATGCCTACGGCTTTCTCCTGCTCTGTTTTGGATTTATGTTTTGTGCTTCGAATTCGTTCAATTTTAAGCTGAATTTGAGAGTATGAATGAATTAATGAAATGAAATGCAAAGAGAGAGGGGAGGAGAAGGGTACATTTCGCGGCTGGGATCGCCCCAGTTGTACCAGCCTTTGGGGAGAATAATGTTGTCCATATAGGTGTAAGCGAAGACGACCCTAGAGAAGGGCCCCCATGCCCTCCCTAAGTATAGCGCTCCAGACCCCGTGACCTTACAGTTTACGAACGAGAACCCTGTGTCCTCCAGCAGGCTGCTTCTCCCCTGCGCTGTCAACGCTCCTGCGTTCTGCGCTATTGCGTGCACGTGACATCCCTCGAACAGAGACAGCCCGTTTCCGAATATGAAGTCCACCGACCCTTCTATGTAACAATCCTTGTAATAATGCCGACCCAAATGGTCGTATAGTGTGTCCTGAGCTCCCAAGAATCTGCAGCCGTAGAATGCTGCTGTGTCCGCCGAGATTCTGAACGCCACCGCCTGTTTCCCGATTGCCCCTGGTGCTGGAACAGGGGTTGTGTTCTGTTTCATACACAAGTTTGTTTTGATTTAAAAGAAAGAAACGATTTTGAATGTGGGGTTTTTTTGGGAGTTTGTTTACCTTGAATGTGATGTTTTTGGCTATGAAATAAGGGGAATTTACTGCGAATGTTGCGGAGTTGTAAGTCCCCATTGGCTGCCCCTTTGGGCCTGGTGTTTGTGCGGTGTCTCCCCATTGAACAATCGTTTTGTCAGCCCCTGCTCCTTGGATTGTTATGAATGATTTCAACGGGGGTATGTTCACCTTCTCTCTGTTGAATTGAATCCACATTCACAAATAATGTTCTTACAGCAATGAGAAAAGGACAAGAGAAGAAACCAAACAAAAAACAGAGCACTCTTAATAAGATTTGTACTCACGTGTATACACCTTCATGAACCTTGATGACGACTCTAACCAAATTGATTGAAGGGAGGGAATCGATGGCGTCTTGGATCGACGTGAAGTCCCCGACAGCCGGATTCTTAGCCACATGGAGAGTATAAGAAGGAAAAAGGTTGTTCTTCGCCGTTCTAAAAACAGAGTGTCGGAGACTGCCGACAAATTTGACCCATTTCATAAATTGCTGCTCTGAGAATTGGGTTGTGGTCGAATTCTCGGGAAGAACGGTCTTGGGCGAGGTCTTGGGTTTGAGCCCCTTGGTATGGCAGTGCGTTAGGGTGAGACTCTGGCTCAGCAAAAGAACAAGAACAAGAAGAGGAGGAGGAGGCCGCAGCAGTCTCGACATGATTTGAAGGGAGGAAGTGGAATTGGTAACGGAGTGGAATGGGCTTCCGTTTATATACAGCTTAATGGCATTAGGTGGAAAGGGGAGTCGTAATTAGAGAATGAACGAGAATGAATGAGTTAAGAGTTCACGGGTGCAGATTGAATGCAAGCCACAAACAGACGACAGGTTGCAGTTTTGGGATATAAAAATGTTGGAAGAGAGAGAGAGAGATAGAGATAGAGAAAGTTAAAAGAGTACCCAAGAAATTCAACACTCCCTGTGGTTTGTTTGGAGCTGCCCGTGAATCTTTTGCTCTGTCCTTCTGTCTCTCCTCCTTTCACATACAACAACCTTGCTCTTGCTGGTGACCTGTTTTGCTATGGTAGTTGACCATCTAACCCCAAGGAGGGAGATGTTAAAGGTAGAGTTGTAATAAGGTAGTCAGAAGGTACGGTGCGGTGCATATGGATTACCTTTGCTACACATTGGTTGAGGGATTTGGTTTGACACGGCTATATAACGGGTCAAAGCGAACAATATCTACTTGTAACGGCCCAGATTCACCGCTAGCAGATATTGTTCTCTTTGGGCTTTCCCTTTCGGGCTTCTCCCTCGAGGCTTTAAAACGTGTCTGGGAAGGTTTCCACACCCTTATAAAGGGTGTTATGTTATCCTCCCCAACCAATGTGGGATTATCACAATTCACCCCTTCGGGCCAGCATCTTCGCTGGCACTTTTCCTTTTCTCCAATCGATGTGGTACCACCGCCAAATCCACCTCCCTTCGGGGCTCAGCGTCTTTACTGGCACACCGTCTCGTGTCTACCCTCTTCGGGGAACAGCGAGAAGGCTAGCAATCTGCTAGTGGTGGACTTTCATTGTTACAAATGGTATCAGAGCCAAACACTGAACGGTATGCCATCGAGGACGTTGTGCCCCCAAAAATGGTGGATTGTGAGATCCCACATCGGTTGGAGAAGGAACGAAACATTCTTTATAAGGGTGTGAAAACCTATCTCTAGTAGACGCGTTTTAAAACCATGAGGCTGACGGTGATACGTAACGAGCTAAAGTGGACAATATCTACTATCGGTGGACTATATAATATAACAAGATATTCTCGATTTTCTATCACAAAGTTTGAGCCTCATGTGACTTAGAGAGATAGTGTGGATACTATAGAATAATGGGTTTCTCTTGTTCTAGAGAACCTAAAACAAATAAGATCTTACAATCTCCATATCAGTCAGATCAGATTTGTCCAAAATGTTAGTGCATCTGCTTGGTTTTCCCAACTAGGCTACCAAGCATTGGAACTAAAATTTAAAAACTAGCACAAAAAAGGGCGATAGACTTAGAATCCGTGTTCGACACGTAGCTTTAGTACTTATTCACGTCACTTTACATATTTCAAACGACTTATGAAGGTGAAAACTATTCATATAACAAAAATTCTTTCCTTGTGTTTTATCTTTGCTCACATGTTGTTTATATTTCATTTTCTATCGAGCATGCGCGTTAAAAGACAATGGAACCAAAGATTATGGTGGATTGCAAGTCGCATGAGATAGTGAGAGAGAGAGTGGGCAGTGCAAAAAAGAACCTCTACGCTGTAAAGGAACCTCAAAATGGAGTTGTAAGTGGTGGGATGGGACAGAGCATTTTGACTCAAATGGGATGGGAACTCAAAAAGCTGAGTGTTTTAGGAATAAAAAAAAGTTAAAAAGAGATAAGATTGCCATTTGGGTGTTCGTGTTTATGCCGAGCATACCAAATAGCGAATGCATAGATCAACATTCGACATATGGGTTGGAGTGCAATGTTGGCACACTCGTGTCATTCGACATTGTCCTTGAAAAACTCATTTCAAAGGAAGACACCTAAGACACTCGTGCTTGCCCTCGCTGTGACGCACGTATATGACACATGATAGTTCACTTAGGCTAAGGACCTAGTGGTGGTTGAGAGCTGATACCACCATCCCTATAATACATTTGTATGCATACCTGATTTTTTTTTAGAGTAAATGTGATTTTGGCAAGCAACCAAACAGCCTTGTGGAGCGTCTATCCGTGTTCAATTGACACTAAATTTGGTAAGTTTTCATTTTTTATATAGACGGCTTTAACTCCAGAACTACATGTTGAAACTCTTGTTGAAACATCGACTTTTGAGGTTATGACCTGAGGCTCTATCTACTCTCCTTAAGCTTGTCTTTGATACAATTGTTGTCATCGTTCCCTCCAATATTCTTTTTTTTATCATTAAATCGAAGACTATACCATATTTTAAAGTATATCAATAATAGATATATCAATAAGTGTTGGTAGTATATCCTTAATGTATATATAAAAAAAAAAAAAAAAACCTTGAATTTTCAATTTCGAGCGTCTTTTCACTCGTTTTTAGGAACGATTTGGACTTTTCATAGTTACTATTTGATATGAACATCGTTTTTGCTTAATTTTGAGAGTAGGATAGATTAAATTCCATGCAAGCGATGGTAACGTGAATATAATATCTTATTGAAATTTAATCATGGAACAATTAGTTGTTAGGAATACTTCCACAATGGTATGATATTGTCCACTCTGACTATAAGCTCTTATGACTTAGTTTCGGGTTTCCCCCAAAATGACTCGTACCAATAAATATATATTCCTTACTCATAAACCCATAATCAACCTCTTAATAAGTCAATGTGGAACCCCTCCCAACAATTCTCCTCTCGAACAAAGTACATAGATCATCTTCGAAGGCCTATGGAGCCTTCGGCATTTGAAATCTACAAACGGGACATGAATTGGTATCCGCCAACCACTTGACAATGCAATTCCGATGAAAAACATGAAAACAAGGCATTCCCACCAACGATTTCTTCCTCCTCTCCAACTCCTCCAAACAAATCACACAAACATCATCACTTTCAATCTCTTCAAATCTCACCCTCATCAACATCATCTCGATACCACGACTCCGATCACAACTCATTACTCCATCTTCCACTCGCCCATTGTAAAACATCCCGACATTCCAAACTTTCAGCGTAACAGTAAGACGAAAAACTCTCCCAAACGCATTCAAATCTTCCCTCACTCGAATTTCAATCCACTTCCGTTTGATCTCATCCGCTACCTTCTTAACATCAACGAGCTCGCTATAATCATCGAAGTGAACCGACAAACAGTTTTGCAACGCGGGGTTGTTGTCGCGATCGATAACCGCAAGGGGAAGCTGGCAGATTGGGAAAGGAAGGCGTCGGTATCTATGGGCGGTGAAGGAAATTACGGTGTTGTTATTGGCTACTTGGATGTGACGGCATTTGACTTCGACACGGAATTTGAGGCTGATTTGTTGAAGGGTTTGAGGGGGAAGTGGTTGTTGAAGGTTGGGAGGGGAAGCTGTAACTTGGACTGATAAGACACTCGTGGTTAAACGTGGAGTGCCCAGATGTTCCATTGAAACCCTGAGAAGAATTTATTTAAGAGCATGGATTGTTGTGAGCTGAGATGATATTGGCGTTTGAAGAATGGTTATTTATAGAACACAAAAACATTCATTCAAATTTGTTTAATGATTTTGGGAAAATAATTTGATTCGAAAAAAAAACGAGATAACATAATCTTAAATTTAAAAAAGAAATTTAGTATTTTATCTTAGAAATATGTTTAGAGGGTTTAAAAAATATTTTAATTTTAATAAAAATATCTATAAAATTTTAAAAGTAACCTTAATTAATATATATACATATATATATATATTTTTTTTGTAGGGTTGATATGAAAATAAGTCATTAAATCTTGTGTTAAAAGGTTTGTAAGATTTTAATTTTGCTTATAATACATTCATCCATTGGATGTACCTACTGAAAAAATAAATAAATATAATTAAACATAGAATTTAGTTTAAATCTAATTAAAATATAAAATTTTATTTTATATTTAATTATTCATTTTTTCAAACTTCCCGTTGCTTAAAAAAAAAATTAGGGGTTAAAAAAATTTAGATTTTATTGAATTAAATAAATGAAAATTTTATAATTAAAATATTTGATGAGTTCCCTTAGATTGTCTCAAAATTTATGGTTAATTCAGAGAAATACATTTATGTTTATAATACATGTATTTATTTTATTTTATAATTATTTATTCTCGAACTGCTATTTTTTTTAATTATTTAAAAGATAATTTTTTTTAAAATAAATAAATAGATATTTTAGGAATTAATATTTTAGTTTTATTAAAAATAAAAATAAAAATAAAAATAAATGGATACAAAAATAATAATTAAATTTAATGGAGAAAAGAAAAAATCGTTGGAGCCCGCTTCGCTCCAGCCGCTAAAGCAAAGGTTGAACTGGGATTGGGCTTTAGATTCCGAGATTGCTCCATCGTACAAATGGATTTAGAAGAGAATAAATAAAAAATTAAAAAAAAAAAGAAAAAAAAAAGAAGAAGACAGAAATCTCTCTAAGCCCTAAAAGAGCAGAGAGAGGAACATAGAACAGTTGAATTAGAAACGTTGGATAGCGTGAGGGATTATATATAAATTCCAAAACAATGTTCGCTCTCTTCCTATCGCCGGCTCCGCCTTCTCCATTGCTCTCTTTCAATCCATTTTCTCACATTTCTCCTCCCTCTTGCATTCCTGCTGCTGGTAACCTCTTGGATTTTCCACTTCTATTGTTGCTTATACAACTTGTTATTTCAGTCATTTTCCAAGAAGAAAATGCTCCGACTGCACTTGGTTTTGCGTTTATTTTGATTGCGAACCTGTTTTTTTTTTTGTTTTTTGTTTTTGTTGCTATTGATTTGCGTCTATGACGATGGTTTACAAGTTCAATTTCAATTCCTACGTGTTTTCGTCTTCTTACTTGTACTAATTCTTGTTCTTAATCTGAAACTAGACAGACTTACTCCGGGTGGCGTCTAGGCGACTCATTTCTGCCACGAAGACGACACAATCGGTTTCCACAATGGCAACTGTAAGTTATTTGGAGCATATATATTACATAATCTACTTCTGTTAGGATGCATTCACCTTCACGGATTGAGTTTATCTGAGACTAAATGATGGCGGTTTGGCGCAGGAGGAAGAAAACGTCGGTAATATGAAGAGACAATTAGCTAAAATATTCGACGTATCCCTTAGAGCGACGGTCCCTGAGGAGACGGATGTTGAGCCTTTGGTTGCTGCTTGTGCTGGAAAATTTGGCGACTATCAGTGGTATGCTATGCGAATTACTAATACTCTAGTGTATACTATAGTAAATTAGATTACTGTTGCTAAGATGTGGTTTCTTATTTGGCGAAGCAATAATGCTATGGGCCTTTGGTCTAAAATAAAAGGAAAAGGAAGTCAGTTCAAAGGCCCTCCTTCCGTTGGACAGGTATTACGGTTTAATTTTTTGCGTTTTTTTCCCATGAAGGTCTCCTTTCATGTTGGATCTTTAGGATCTTTAGGATCTTTAGGATCTTTTTTTTTATTATTTGAGAATCTGACAGAACTGCGCTCTTGATTTCTAGGCCATTATGAAAAATCTTCCTCCATCTGAAATCATAGAATCATGTTCTGTGGCAGGCCCTGGTTTCGTGAATGTTCTAATATCTAAAAATTGGATTGCTAAGGTAATGTCATTTTCTTGAAAATTTTAGTTAGAATAACTCATATCAATTATAAGAACGTGTTCGTTGGTTTTTCTTTCCTAACTTAGTTACTAATCCTCCACGGTCTACAAAAAAATTTCACTATAATCAATACTTCTACGTGTGTGTATGCTTAATATGCATTGCCTGCTCCAGAGCATACAAAAAATGCTAATTGATGGTATTGAAACTTGGTCACCGCGGCTTCCAATTAAAAGAGCAGTAGTTGATTTCTCCTCGCCTAATATAGCAAAAGAAATGCATGTTGGCCACTTAAGATCTACGATCATTGGAGACACTCTAGCCCGGATGCTTGAATTTTCAAACGTTGATGTTCTTCGGAGAAACCATGTTGGTGACTGGGGAACACAGGTATAACTTTATATTTGTCAGTGCCTTAACACAGCTTCTTTATTCAAGGATTTAATGTTTATTCATGGTGGGTCGCAATAGACAAATGGCTTTTCATGAACTGCCTTTGTTACTCTTTCAAAGTGTAAATGAAAACTGAATTTAGTTTCTAGTTTGCCGCTTTTGCCCCATTCCTTTTCTGCCATGTCCAGACTAGCTTCAAAATAGGCAGTCTTGATTGTCAATAAGTATAAAACGTTGTGAATATCTAGGTTCTCCAATGCATACTATTTCATTCATTTTTAAACGGCTTCAAACTTGTTTATTTCATTCATTTTTGAAATGTTGATTTTGGCATGGGGTTTTACTCTTTTAATTGGCTTCTACAGAAACGAAGTGTATCAACAGATATTCATTTTTTGCTTCTTGTTTGCAGTTTGGTATGTTGATCGAATTCCTTTTTGAAAGATTTCCCAACTGGGAAGAAGTTACTGAAACAGCAATTGGAGATCTGCAGGTAGGAGAGAAACTATAGAATCTTATTTCGTTATTGACATGTTTACCTTTTATAGTATATTAACAAAGGTAACTTTAATAAGGTTAAGAAGTTCGGTGTTTTTGGTCTTACATAATGGACTTTCTATTGTTAAAGATATAGAGCACTTCACTCTTTTATGTGATGCAAATGTGTTCTGTGAATTCTTACTTGCAACAAAGGCCGAAAATGAATATGGAGAAGTTATTAATGCCCGTCTGCCGTATCAAGTAGAACTGACAAACTGTTATTTGAAATTTTGATTACATAGACATTCTATAAGGCGTCAAAGCAGAGGTTTGATAGTGATCCTGCATTCAAGGAGAAGGCACAACAGGCAGTGGTTCTTCTTCAGGTGATTTTTACTGTGGCCAATGTAGACATGTTTCACAACCTTATTAAATGCTTATATATTATTTTGGACCCTAGATCTTCATACTAAAAAAAACTGTTTTGAAACTTCTTTTCAATTGTCAATTACACTTGTTAATTTTATTTTTGCCTGCTAATCTTCCACATGATGACATGTATTGTATGCTAAAATGTTTTTTTCTAATATTTGCATGTTTTTTTATTCATAAGTACTTCTACTTCATATAAACATGAAAAATAAATAATAAAGTAACAAAATAAAGTTGGAGTTCACCTAAAGAGCCTCCGTTTGTGTGTTGGTTTTGAAGGAATTTTGTAATAACTCATTCGGTCTTATTACTAGAGATTAGAGTCCATTTTCGAATAGTTAGAAGCCCGGCTTCCTGGCATGTTTATTTATTTATTTATTATTATTATTTTAGTGCCGTGGACCTTTTGTCTCGTTTTCTTTCCTTTTTTTTTTTCAATGAAACCTTGGTTTCTCATAGAAAAAAAGTAATGGTAGCGACAGTTAAGAAGGAGCTTATTTATCTATTGTTATCATTATTTTATCCATGAGTGTTTGTGCATGGTTGCACACATCTTAATTAATCTCTTCGAATAACCGCCTATCCCTACTATATTTCATGGTTAGAAAACATGTAGGACTTTATTCTATATTAGTTGGCCACCATGGGATTTGAGTTCATTCTCCAAAATCTCTTTTACTTAGATCACTTGTCCCAATCAGCCTTGGATGGAAATTTCATATTTTATGCAACGTGTCTTAGCATCTGCAATTTGATTGAAATTTTAATTTTAAGGATCTAAGTTTCATTATTGAAAGTGAGTTTTATATGTTGAAAGAGCTATAAGTAGACTCCACTTGATCTTAGGCTCTTAGCCAAAAGGTCGAGTAGTTTACCCATAAACTTATTGTTTAATTTTTTTTTGCAGCTTGTTTATGATTTAAATATTCCTGCAAGAGAATGATAGGGCATATCAATTATTTGGAAGTTTCTCATAGCTAATTTCTATTGAAATGATCATTATCTTTTTTTTCCAGGGTGGTGAAGCTAAATATCGCAAGGCTTGGGCACAAATATGTGAAATCAGCAGGAATGAATTTAATAGGGTGTACGAACGCCTTGGAGTTCAATTAGAGGAGAAGGTGCATTTTGGCTTTTCTTTTATACATTATACTTGATACTTGTTTCTGTTGGGATTAGGAAAATCTTCCTTTTAGTGTCAGGTCCAAGTTAGATTGTTTTCCTGGCTTAAGGTTTATTAGTGTTTACCACCATATTTATTAGTTGGAATAGTTAATTTACAGTTAATGGCATGACATCAACTATCAAACAGCATCAGCTTCTTTGAAGGTTGAAGATCTTCTGTTCTATTGATATTATCTGCTACGTATGGATCTTAACTTGCAGAGTCATGAGTCTGCCACTTTTGATTTTAATATTGATCTGAAATACTGCCGACGGCTTAATCTCAGTTCTCATTTGGTCAAGGTCTTTTCATCTCTGTCAGGGAGAGAGCTTTTACAACCCATACATTCCTAATGTCATAAAAGAACTGACTGATAAGGGCTTAGTGGAAGAAAGTCAGGGTGCTCGTGTAATCTTTATTGATGGAATAAATATTCCTCTAATTGTTGTCAAGAGTGATGGTGGTTTCAATTATGCTTCAACTGATCTTGCAGCCATCTGGTCAGTTTTTCTCTAGCTCATCTTGTTTTTTAATGGAACTATTCACTGTCACTGGCTATGAATAACTTGAAGGTTGACGCAGTCGTCAAACTTTATAATCAGTTATGACCCATCAACATTGTGCTTATTTGGATTCCCTTTGATCGATTGCATGATTCTCAAAATCTTGTGGAGCTGAATCATTCTGATTGATCATATTTTCCTGCACCAAACAGGTATCGCCTTAATGAAGAAAAAGCTGAATGGATTATATATGTCACTGATATTGGGCAGCAGCAGCACTTTGACATGGTTTTCCGGGTACGTGTCTCGAGCAATTCCTGCTCTGACATGATTTGTTTATCCTTCCATGTTCGTTGCATGTATGGTTATTTGCAGACCTGGTAGCTGGGCTTCTTAACTGTAGTTAGCAATTATTTAATGGATTGGTTGTTGTCTTACACTTCCTCTCTTTTGTTTGTGCATATGATTATTAACTACTGTAAATCCATCAATGAATTCGTTTCTCCTCTAAAAAAATTATTAATTACTGTAGACCTGATCATTACATATCCACCAAACTACTGCTAACAATTATTTCATGGATTAGTTATTGTCTTATATTGGAAGGAATTATTGCTATTTTTTCAGGCTTGTAAACGTGCTGGCTGGCTTCCACTTGAGGATAATAAGCATCCTAAAGCAACCCATGTTGGTTTTGGTTTGGTTCTTGGTGAAGATGGCAAGCGTTTTCGTACTCGAAATACTGAAGTGGTTCGTTTAGTTGATTTGCTTGATGAAGCCAAGAGCCGCAGTAAAGCTGCACTTATTGAGAGGGGTAATGATAATAAAGATTATTAAGGACTATTTTATTTGATCGAAAAAAAATTGTGCAGCTTGCTGCTTTACCTTGTTAGATTAGTGGAAGTGAATACGTTCGATTTATTTTTTCTTTATCAAACTTTTTACAGACATACTGTCAGCATTCCACATATTTTACTTTGTAATTTGATTTTTGATAACCTTCTTTAGAGAAAGCTGCAGAATGGACTGAAGCAGAACTTGAGCAAATTGCTGAAGCTGTTGGTTATGGTGCTGTTAAGTAAGTTACCATTTTCATTACTGGCTATACCTTTTATGGCTCATGCATGAATCCTAGAGGTTGTCCTTGATGTTCCTTTCAATGAAAACCTTTAATGAGTACTATTAATTGGTATCACTCATAATGGTCATCGCTATAACATGAAAAATTGATCTTGTATCTGTTGGGGGATATCTGAGAGGTTATGACTTTCTGTGTACTCAACTTGGGCTTCCCTATCAAAGAATTAAGCCTTTTCCATTAGTTGTAACTTAAAGCTGTTCTGTAATCTTCCAACCATGAGGGCTCAGGTTGGGCCTCTTTGTCTGTGCCTTCTTTTATAGGTGTCTTCTTGTCAATAAGTTTTCTTTTTCTTATTTAAGAATTTGTCTGCTTCATGTTTCTTCGTTCAAATGCTCAGAAACGCTTATTAAGACTTTATGTTCCCGTATTGTCTCGACAGATATGCTGACCTCAAGAACAACAGGTTGACCAACTATACGTTCAATTTCGATCAGATGCTCAATGATAAGGTACACTTTCTCATCTGGTTCTAGGCATGGAGTATAATATACAGAAAATCTAGTCAAACAACCTAAATGTAATTTTTTAAGCATCCACCTCCACTGCCTCTAAAGTAAAAGCTCCGTAGTCCACTTTCTTTACACACCTAAATTTTGTGATGACCAGGGCAACACTGCTGTGTATTTGCTGTATGCCCATGCTCGTATCTGTTCAATCATCAGGAAATCTGGTAAAGACATAGAGGAGTTAAAAAAAGTAAGTTTCCTTCTAAACCCCAGAACCAGTTCTTCTCAAGTCTTCAGTTGGACAAGACCAGCAGTTTTGCATTTGTTTCTTAATTTTTTTTCAACTTTATTTTGATAGACGGGAACAATTGTGTTGGAGCACGAGGACGAGCGTGTTTTGGGACTTCATTTGTTACAATTTTCCGAGGTAAAAACAATATACATTTTAACTGGGTAACTTTGCCTCTGCGTCTGAACCATTTTATATTTGGTAACTTTGTCTGTACCTCGTGATAATTACTTTTCCTCCCTTTACTTTAGGTGGTCGAGGAAGCTTGCACCAATCTGTTGCCGAATGTGTTGTGTGAATACTTGTACAACTTATCGGAAATATTTACGAAAAAATTCTACTCCAACTGCCAGGTACAGCCTACTTTAAACCAAAAGTCGTTCTTTATGCATAATATCATTGTCCCACCAATTGATGTTGGATAATCTCTGAACCACTAGCTCTTGTCAGCTGATAGCGTCGTGGCAGCTAATCATGCCTTGGTTTTCAATACATTTACCTTCAATAACCTAGAATTTAAAGTTACTTTTTCTCGATCATTTTGTTTGGTTATGCCATTTGCATGAAGTCGTTTTTCATCTTCTCCCATCCTTGTGGTTATGAGCTGGAAAAAGGTCACTTAATTTGTACCCTTGTCCCAAATGCATCCAAGAAAAGATGCCGATGCCGCGGACGTCTTCTCGCAAACAAGTTAAAACTATATTAATCTTGATCAATATTTGTCAGGTCGTTGGGTCGCCCCAAGAAACGAGCAGACTCCTACTTTGTGAAGCTACAGGCACAGTGATGAGGAAATGCTTCTATCTCCTCGGAATAGTACCTGTCTACAAAATATAACCTCGAAACAGTGCCACTTTCCAGATCCACTTCTATCTCCTTCGACTTGCGTTACTTCATTATCCTCCACTAATTGACATGTTCTTGCCACATCCTTGCCAACATTAGAGTGTTGCAAAAAAAATAGAAGAATTCAACATTATATTGTTTTAGTTTGTCAAATTTACCAGTTTTTCACCCGTGTAGTTCTCCTTAAGATATTGAACCAGGCTGCTCATAATCAGATATAAACGAAATCCAAGTGTTCTTAGGAGTGGGAAAATTTGCCTCTATTAGTGATCTTCGGGATTATTTTATGTATAAACTATAAGTTATTTTGTCCAATGTAATTTTTCGGATTCAAAGCCGAACAGATAAACAGCATTATTGATCACCCTAAAACAAGACAAATCAAATTAATATTTTAAACTTTAACTTAAATTTATATGTACTTTTAGGGTGGCTCTTATCTTTATGTCGCATCAATCTATTGATTTTGTTTCTATATGTTTAAATGATTTCGATTAAGATTGGAAGATGGCAGTAACGTCCAGAAAACTTTAATAATCAAAACCTTTTTGAGTTAATTTGAACTGAACAATCCGTCATCCATGTTAGCAGCTTAAAGCTCGCAAGTATTGCAAAATCATTGATCTACAATTGAAGGTTGAAACAAAATTCCTTAGAAAAATAAGAAAGGGGGAAATTATGGCATAGGGTTAGTAATGAATGCACGAATTCAAGATTAATTCGATGGATAAGACATCAATTATCTCGATGTTCAATTCCCACCCGACAATCGTTGAACTCGAGCAAGGAAAGTAATCAGTGGCCATTCACAGGGATTGCAGACCTAGATCCACAAAGCAAACTAGTTCTCCCTCTTGATCTTGAAGCTTTCTTGGCTATGGTGGCCCTTGGAATAATGGATTTATGACCATCAAAACTCTTGCAAGACTTGAACTTTTTGGTAATTGGAGACACCCTCTTAGCCAAATCTTCTAATCTTTCTACACTTGCTAGAGACGTAAAAGACTCTGATTTACCATCATAATATCTAGACAACCCTCTCCTGCAAAATAGCCATAAAAATCAAAGAAAACCCCATTAGCCATCCATTATTGACAATTATTTCAATCAAAATTCAAAAGGTAATGGAAAAAGGGTTTTATTCATCCCATAACTTACTTCATAGGAAGATGAACCATTAGCTCTGATAGCTCATAAAGAGGCCCATTTGAAGAACACGATGAAAATGAAGAACTTGAAACCGGAGAAATGGCATCTTCCACCATATCCAAAGAAGAAGAAGAAGAAGAAGAAGAAGAAGAAGATGCTTCAGAATTTACAGAACTGAGCTCCATTGAAGACTCCATTGAAGCTTCACAATCTTCCGTGATCCATCTGCAACACCCATTATTCTGAGCTCCATCAACACCAAGCTGCTGATTTTCTTGCAATTTTCCCATTGGATAATCAATCCAAAACCAAAAGACAAAGAAGAACAAAATGGGTATTGATAAAAATGGTTTCTTGCGACTATATATGGAGAATCAAAGCAAAAAGGAACGATCTTTTTTACTCTTTGTTGATAAAACTTTGAAAAAAGGATCAAGATCTTGTAACTGTACTACTCCTATATGCTCCAAAACCTATATATATATATGTGGAAACCATAGTTTATATTTATATCATTTCTTTTTTGTTTTATAACGAGATAGGCTTGGATAATATTCCTTTTTTTTTTCTTTTTTGCTGTTCTATCCAAAACCCTTTATCATCAATTATCATCTTTTTATATTCATAAATTTATTATCAAAATTTATGGGGCTGAGTTTTTTTTGCCTTTTCCCATATTACTAGGAAAGGAGATAAGATCTAAAGTTGGAAGACATATCCACAACTCATTGAATAATTCCCATGTTTTATATTCTCTCTCTCTCTCTCTCTCTCTCTCTATATATATATTTATAATATATGATATTGAGAATTGAAAATTGAGGTCAACATTAAGGTTACTTTTGCTTCATAAAGGCATGACATTATAATGTTCATGTATCATCAACCTTCCATTGAGGAAAGATTGATTAAAATTTTGTAAAAAAGAAGATTAAAAGGAAGAAAACAGCCCACCCTTTTAGAATAATACACCTCTTTTTAAGATACCTTTTGTATCTATGGACATTTTCTTATCTCCATCCCAATCAAAACTGTTGCTAACTGGATAATAGTTAAAAAGATTCTTTGCTTGTACCAAACATAATTGAAATCGTGCCCAATAATTAATTTTGACTCGTAAAATTGTTAAATTGTATTAATTTGAACTATAAATTTTTAATTTCATCCAATTGTAAAAATGGAAAGATAGATTGAAGAAATACCATTGGAACATTTTCAAGGAGAGACTCGTAAAATATTTTGAAATAGTTTATATATATTTCTCAAATATTTAATTTTTTCTAATTGAGAATTCTCTGAAACAAAATATTTTACTTAATTAATACTAAAGAAAAATGTAAATAATTAAATAATTTATTTAAAAAAAATAAAAAAAAAAAAAAGGACAGGAGGACACAAGTCACGATGGAAATGGCGATGGTTACTGCAAACAGCCACCCCCAATCATGCCGTGTTTCTTATCCCCGCTGTCCCAATCTTTGTTCTTATCCATTCTGTCGTAGAATTTTGGCCCATCAGGCCCATTTAAATCTAATGGGCTGATACGCATGGCCCACTAACAATCTCACTTGGGGATTTCTGTTTCTGAGGCCCAGTTCTTTTGGGCTGATGTTCGGGCTTTTGATCCATTCCGTTTGTGATTTTCTTTTTCTCTTACATTTATTCAAATGAATAATATATAATTAATATCTAATATTTCCAACATATTGTAAACGTCCAATCCAAAATTTTTCATATAAATATTTCTTTTAATCTTTATTTTTTTAATGGGTAAATACAGACCGTTACACGTAATTTAATTAATTAAATTATGCTCAAATTATTGGATAAAATAGTTTTTTAATATTTTTCAGAAAAAAGAAAATTAAACGGCACCGTTTGAGTGGCATGAAGTGAAATGTAGCGGTAGATATATAATGAGTGCGGAACAGACATGCTTGGCACCGGAATCGAGAATTCACAAAAAACAAATTTTCATAATTTCCACTGACGTCCGGTTCTTATGCTGACGCGCCCTTTCCGAGCTCGACACTGTCTTCAGTGGCTACGGCAGTACAATTATTCAGCTGATTTTGCTCTGTTTTGAACCTTAAAAAACATAATATCGAGCTCTGTAGTCCTCACAGAGGCGTTGGTGTTCCAAACGACAACCTTCAAGAATCCCTCATTCCCATATCTCTGCACAAACGGCGGCAGAGAAAGAGCGAGGCCAAGAGGGTGTGGCTTTCTAGTGATGAGAAGAAGCAGAATGGGGAAAGGGCTTGGATTCAATCTCATCATTATTGGGATTTTGCTGTTCATCATGCTCTTGGGTTTGTAGCTCTCTGTTTCTTCTTCTTCGTAAAACACTTCGATTTGGGATCACATTTTGCCTTACTTGCAGTGGTTTTGTTTGGTTCTACTTGTTGGATCTTCCTTTTTATTCGCATTGTCTCTAGTTTGAATTGCCCAATGTTTTGGGGGTTTCTCCGTAGAAGTGCACAATTTAGAACTTCTTAGCTAGCGTTTGAAGATCATGTTGTCACTGTTAGGACCAACAACATTCAGTTTTGAGACCATTTAGGAATTGGCATTAAATGGTCATTTTTGGCTTTCGATTTTGTCTTCAAAGGAATTGTCTTCTCTATCCAGCTGAACTAAACGAACTCTTACTCTGAGCTGTTTAGGAAGATGTCTGTATGTTAGGATCGATAGAAATCATAGAATAGATAGGATTGGAGCTCCCTGTAAGTGCATTGTAAGACAACTCGTGTTTCGGCATCATGGTTTTCGGTGGAATGAACGGTAACAGCTCAAGCCCACCACTAGTAGATATTGTCCTCTTTGGGTTTTCCCTTTCGAGCTTACCTTCAAGGTTTTTAAAATGCGTATGTTAGGGAAAGGTTTCCACACCCTCGTAAAGAAAGTTTTGGTCCCCTCTCCAACCGATGTGGAATCTTACAATACACCCTCCTTCGGGACCCAACGTCTTCGCTGGTACTCATTCCTCTCTCCAATTGATGTGGGATCTCACAATCCACTCTTCTTTAGTGTCCAACGTTCTCGCTGGCACTCGTTCCTCTCTCCAATCGATGTGAGATCTCATAATGACACCAGGCGGTGTGCCAGCGAGGCGCTGGGTTATAAAGGGGGTGAATTGTGAGATCCTACGTCAATTAGAGAGAGGAACAAGTATCAACGAGAATGTTGGACCTTGAAGGGGGTGAATTGCGAAATCTTACTTCGATTGGAGAGAGGAACGGAGTACCAACGAGAACATTGGGTCCCGAAGAGAGTGGATTATGAGATCCCACATTGGTTGAAGAGGGGAACGAAGCATTCTTTATATGGGTATGGAAACCTCTACCTAGCAGACACGCTTTCAAAACCTTAAGGGAGGCCCAAAGAGAACAATATCTACTAACTGTGAGCTTGGGATGTTACCTAAACCCTTTCCGTAGGCAATAGGTTATGGATCGTTGTTCTTCTATTCATTGATGATCATGTGTGTTTTTCGGTTGTCGGATTCATCGTTCTTTCTATTCATATACTTGAAATAACGTTGTACATTTCATGAATTTGGTTACAGACCATTGCCAGGGAAGTAAAGTTGGTGTTTGCTATGGAAGGAACGCAGACGACCTCCCAACACCTAATAAAGTGGCTCAGCTGGTCCAACTTCATAACATCAAATATCTTAGAATCTATGATTCAAACATTCAAGTTCTCAAGGCCTTTGCCAACACTGGTGTTGAACTTATGATTGGGGTTCCGAATTCAGATTTGCTGGCTTTCGCTCAGTTTCAGTCTAATGTAGACTCTTGGCTGAAGAACAGCATACTTCCTTATTACCCAGCTTCGAAAATAACGTACATAACGGTCGGTGCCGAGGTCACCGAGAGCCCCAACAATGTGTCTGCCTTGGTGGTGCCTGCCATGAAAAATGTACTCACTGGTCTCAGAAAGGCTGGTCTACACAAGAAGATAAAGGTTTCTAGCACTCATTCCCTCGGCGTTTTGTCTCGGTCGTTTCCTCCTTCGGCTGGCGCTTTTAGTAGTAACTATGCATTTTTCCTGAAACCATTGTTGGAGTTTCTTGCTGACAACCAGTCTCCCTTTATGATCAATATCTATCCTTATTATGCTTACAGAGAATCCCCCAGCAACGTGTCGCTGGACTATGCACTTTTCGAGTCATCATCCGAAGTTATTGATCCGAACACTGGTCTGCTTTACACGAACATGTTTGATGCTCAGATTGATGCTCTTTATTTTGCTTTGATGGCTCTAAATTTTAGAACAATTAGAGTGATGGTCACAGAAACAGGCTGGCCATCTAAAGGGTCGCCAAAGGAGACGTCTGCGACTCCCGACAATGCTCAAACTTACAATACGAATCTTATCCGCCATGTTATCAATAATACAGGGACACCTGCAAGGCCTGGAGAGGAACTAGATGTATATATCTTCTCTTTGTTCAATGAAAACAGGAAGCCGGGGTTGGATTCTGAAAGGAACTGGGGATTGTTCTATCCAGACCAGACCAGTGTCTACAACTTGGACTTCACGGGAAAGGGCGCGGTCGACATGTCTACACAGGCTAATAGTACCAGCTCGAATGGAACTGCCTGGTGCATAGCTTCAAGCAAGGCTTCTGATATGGACTTGCAAAACGCCTTGGATTGGGCTTGTGGTTCGGGTAATGTCGATTGCACAGCCATTCAGCCAAGCCAGCCTTGTTTCGAACCAGATACTCTGGTTTCCCATGCATCTTATGCATTTAACAGCTATTTCCAGCAAAATGGAGCTACTGATGTTGCTTGTGGATTTGGAGGGAATGGAGTTAAAGTAAACAAGGACCCAAGTAAGTCACGACCGTATTTCCCGAGCATACGTCATATACTTCAGTGTTATACCTCTGTTATACGGTTAACATAATTGAAATCTTCGTTTTGTGTTCTAATCTCTGTTTCGTGTTACGAGTTGAAAGACTAAAACAACTGTTCCTAACTCGACTTTGTACGTTGACTTTGCAGGCTATGATAATTGCTTGTATGCAACTATTGGGTAAGCCTAACTTATGAATTGAGGAGAACATTGATTTCCAAGTTCATAGATTTTGATTTCCAGTTCCTGATGTTCTTTGCCTTTCCCGTGTTTCTTACTGTCAAGCAGGAAGAACAAGACGATCTCTTCCGGTAACACGACGGCAATATCCTCAACTTCCTCATCTTCTACTTCAAGGATTGAAGTTTCCGCAGGTTTACCTATTATCATGGCCTTCATATCATATTTTTTGTAAATTTCATGAGAAGGGTCAGCCAGATTTTGCTATGCAAATCCTGTATGTAGTGTCTGTATGATAAGAATGTGTCTCTATTTATAAGGAGGTCAATGAAGTCGATTGAATTGGTTGGTGGAAATCGTACTGAATAAGTATTGCAATATCCTCAACCTCTCTCTGACATATGCATTTTAAAAATCTTGAAGGGAAGCTCGAAAAAAAAAGTTCAAAAAGAACAATATCTGTTTACTTGCTATATATATATATATATATATCAACAAATAATAATAATAATCTGCTATTTCTAATCAGAAAGATTTTATTTGATTATGGAGTTCAGAAGCAGTATCTCAAATATAAACTCAACAATCACAATTCCTATCCCCCGCAAGACAAAATTTCCGAATACAAATTCCTTTCAACGAGAAACATTAGCACCTACCGATCGATACCCAATAAGCAAATGTGATCACAAACAAAAGTACCTGCAGATCGCTATTCGGAACATAAATACATCATTAGCTTGAGACGAACTTTTTCAAATCGAATCGAATTTTTTAACCCAAACTTTACCTCTTCATGTTAGCAGGCACAATGTTAAAAGAGGATAGCCATTTTTTGTTTTCTTACACAGAAGAGAAGTAGTTTAGTCATTAAGCCGATAAGACCTCCCTCTGAAAGCTCCACTCGTACGCCTATCATCAGGCACTGCACGTTGAATTGGTGGAGCGCCTATCCTCCACCTTGAGACTATCCTCTGTCTGTAGAAATTGTTAAAGAAATGCTGAATAAAGCAAGGCAAACAATAGAAAAAACTGCACCCAAATTGGTGAATTATAGATGCATAGCCAGAATCAAGAAAAAAATTTGGTTAAGAAACCAAAAGAAGAAGGATACACCCAAAATGGAGTTCTCAATATGTTCTTTCCGCCTGCCAATGGATGCAACACGGTCAAAAAGTAGTACAAATGCCCTGCTAGGATTCCTAGTAAATCAGGTACAAGAGGAGAACCAAAAATGACATCCAGCGCTAGCATGGCCCATGGCAGATAAAATGCCTGCACAAAAATCATGACATTTGTGTTACTGATATCAGGAACTGTGAAGGTGAAAAAAAGTACAATTTGGCAAAACCTAAATCAATATCATTGACCGTACCTTAAGAGTCACAAGGCCATATATGTTGATCTGTGCATTAGGAAATTCTCGACTCCAGACGTAGAGAAGCATAAACACAAGTGATATCCCTAAGACTGAAAACGAGAAGATTGGGATAGCAGAAAGTACCTATTCAAGAGGAAGTGTCCATAAGAAGAAATGTTGTAACAAATTAGCGTAAATATTCAACCTAAAGTAAAGATTCATCCTTTAAAAACATTATGAGGCACAAAATGCAACCTAACCAAACATAGGACGACTAAGTTATAATTTTCAATTCAAACTGATGCCTTACTTCATGAAGTTGCAAATGAACAAGTATTGGCAAAATAATATTGAAACCATTAGGTGCCATCTGCAAAATCTACTATATTTATGAATAGAAAAGACTTGAGAACCACTGCATCGAATTTTCTTTATCCAAAAACCAAACCTTGAGAAACAAAAAAACATGAAAGAACACACAAGGGCCAAACAGAGGCCAGCAACAACCACTGCATCTAAAGGAATAGCTTAATAAAGATCCTCACAAACCAGTAATGTTAAGGCTCCAAATATCATCATCCACAGAAAATCTGCTGTTCGCCTCTGAAATGGTCCATTCTCAAGTTGTACCCCATATCTTGCTCTGTAAGGGCATAACCATTAAACTATTAGTACATCATAAACTGTCTTGAGAGTTTGAACACAAGCCCTCCACTTTTCATGAAATAGTATTGCCAGTAGCTCATATAAAAAAGTTACCACACATAAAAACTTACATCATAAGTAAACGAATTCCAAAATTGATAGAGAATTTTCCTAGGAAGAAGAAGTTTGTGAATAGTCTCCACACCTGAGAATAAAGGTGACCTTGCATGAATGTTCATAATAATTCTTGGAAATAATATGTTGGAGTACACATAGTGCAAAGGGAAAGGCATCCACAGGATCATTTAAGAGTATTCGGAGCAAATGCTACAACATTCTAATTCATGACTACTTGAGAGTACAGTGATTTCTGCTAATAAGAACAATTATATCTAAATTTCATAAATATAAGGGATTATACCACAAAGAGAGAGATCAAACTTTTACTGTTCTCTTTATACAGAACAACTTTTCTTTAATGAAAGAACAGTTTCCTTGATGAAAAACAATAATTTCCGTTGGCAATTATTTATAAGAAATAACAATTGCCAAGTCTTCTCTCTTTAGAATTTAAAATCCAAAGCATAAATCAACTTTTTTCTGCCCATGTTTTCCTGACTTGGGTTCCATGTGAAATCCCTCATTCTGGCATCGCACCCCTTCACTATTTTACTTGCCTTTACCACAGTTCACTTCAATAATAGACATTTAATAGAAAAGTTGACCGTCAGACCACAATAAAAAATTGAGAGATCTTGAAGAGACCGTGACAATAAGAACAAATAATTCATGCTTTAACTGGTTCTAAATCTAATTCTAATCCTCTTGTTTGAAACAGGGCTTTCTAATATTAATCAATTTTATAATCTACATATATTGGAATATAACGAAGGAGTGCGGGAGATCAAATTAATATTGGAACATGCAAAATCTTAGCTTGTTCGGCCACACATGCCACTCGTGCGTGCATATTCAATCATCTGTGACTCTAGCCAACTTGCATCTATTCTAGGCCAAGTGGCTCAACAAGCCTCTACTCTAGGCAAGGTCTACCATATGCAAGTCACATTCATCTAATTTTTAACTAATAAATTGTTCTCAATTTGTCTGAACAATTATTTGGACCACAAAAAAACATTGCAGATTTTATACACAAAGGAAAAGGAATCGATATTTGGTCTTCAATTTACTGTTGAGTTCTTTCGAAGAATTAAACTCGTGTACATTTCATAATGTTAAACTAAAATTATTTTATTTATCTAATTGATTATTGACCAAAAATGTTCATTGCAAAATAAATAGCACCCTCATACATAAGTATATAATATTCGGAATTATATCTGATATATAACATCCATATTATTATCAGTCGAGAAGATAAATGGTGAGTCAAACAACCAGGAAATTCTTGAATTCTGAGATTTCCATATCACTAATGAGTACTAGATTTGATGCCCCTTGGAAAGATTAAGAATGATCGAGATGAATGCTGGACTAACAGAATAAAAGCACCAACGAAGTGAGGATCCGAACTGAAAAATTAAACAGATATAAAGGGGCACCATTCTGACATCTATGCATATTCAATTCAATACCTGGAAATGCTTGAAAACGAGTTCATAATCCAACGCAATAAGCCCGGGATCGTACAAGCCAAGCTGGAATGCTGTAGTTGCCAAAAGACACATAGTTCCATACGCCTTACTTATAGGTGGAAGAGAGTTGTAAAATCTGAATTGTGATAAAACTGGTCAGGACACTCAAGATACAGATTGAAATGAGAGTAAAAAATGACAGCCGACATTGATAGCGAAAAGAAACCAAGACAATGAAAATTTTCAAAACGAAACAAACCAATCTAGAGATAAAGATAATAAAATTGCAACATCGAACAGGAATTAGAAATAGAGAAGCAGCATTACTCGGCGGGAGAAGACATTGTAGCAACAGAAATCAAATCCAAAGCAGCTTTGGAACTGGAAATCTCCGACTTCTTTATGAATTTTCACCGCCTGAGGACGAACAGAACTTAGCAAACAAGAAATCCAAGGTTGGTGAATGGAAATCCCAGAAAGGAATCCACCAGAAGCTTCCTCTTCCGAAATCCGAAGCAGTTCCTTCGCTTTCGTACGTGCGGATTACTGGGCTGGGCTGGTTCAAATTCATGCCAGTTTGGCCCATATTAAGATATGGGCAAGGCCCAAATAATAGCCTTTAGCCCATAAATTACAGTAATAATTTCAAATTTTTTACTTTATTTGGAATAAATGTATTTAAAAAATTATAATTAATTTCGTAAATTATTCACTCCTTGACGTCATTCAATCCCAATCCCAATAATAATCGAACCAAAAAAACAATAAAGTCAAATAAATTCCACATCATGATTCCCTCATGACACTTCCTATTGATGCCGCTGAGGGTAGGTGGGGCCGGGGGGGGGATGCCACGTGGCAGGTAGTAATAAATGGAACTAAAAGTGTAGTGGGCCAATGGGCGGATCTGGACATGGTTTATCCATGTGGGCTGTCGCTCTCTAATCGTAGACTGGGCCGCACCTAATCCGGTCCAATCTTTTTCGTCTTAACTTCTATTTTTTCTTATTTTCTTATTATTGATTTATTATATTAAAAAAATGAAAAAGATTATATTATGTTTGTTTAATGACGTGTTAAATTTATTTAATTATATTATGTTTAATAGTTACTTAATTTTATTATTTACTTATGACAAGTTTTGAAAATAGACTATTTTATTTTAATATTTAAAAAAAAAAAAAAAAAAAAAAAAAAAAAAAA